CATTTATGATTCTTGCTGCCACTGACACATAAGCATAGATTTGGTGTCTTAAAGAGTTGGTTAGAATCCTTCTGTCATCTCTATGGATGTGATTGTAAGCAGGTTACTCATGAGTCTCATTTCTTCATCTGAAAAATGGAGATAAAACGTGCCTTCCTTAAGGTTGTAGGGATTAAATTATGTGCATAAAATAGCATTGGTTTTTAGAATGTAGTTGATATTACTTATTAGGTAAAATCATTTTAATTTATTTAACTTTATTTCTTCAGAGTTAGATTGAGAGTTTGTTAGGCTTTTGAATATACAAAAATGAGGTGGAATTTAATAATGTTGCTGGTAGCAGACTTTGGCTATGTCCCATTCTGTTGCAAATGATTTCTTTTCCTCAGTACAAAGTGCTGCTGTCAATCTAGAGTAAAGAAAAGAGTGCTCATCAGATAAAACTTATAACCCAGTGTAAGGGGAGGAAATCTGTCTTAGTTGCTGTGCCCAGCACCAAGCATTAGCCTGGCATATTACAGGCACTTCAGATCATGTTTAAATGAGTGAATGCTGTTTAAATGAGAAACATGCAGTAGGTATGGAGTACATGATGTGTAATAGCACATTTTGGGTAGCTAAGCGAGGTGTTTATGAAATATTGGAAAAGGAGAACAATTTTTTTTTTTGTTTTAGCAGTTGTCTTTGAAACAATTATAATGGATTCAGTGTAGGCATGAATATTTTCTTACAGGATGCATATTTTAAAAGAAAGGTAGGCCAGCTAAGTTGAGCTAAAAGAACCACTTTTACTGAATTAACCTAGAAGGGAAACAGCTGATGATAATAATAAAAAAAAAGAGACAATAGAGATCACAATTTACAACTATTGTGTTAGATTTCTATGCCTTAAGTTATTGTACTTTAAAGGAAATAGAGTTCCCTGTGGAAAGATGGACCAGACTTGTTGATCTTCAGCTTCTGTCTTTCCTTTTGCTGATTCAGTTTGGGCATACAACCAATCCCTTGAGCAGTATTCGTTGCCTACTTTCTCTCTTCCTTGGAGGCATGGACTGGTGAGGCTACCAAAATGATTGTGGCAGTTTCTCACCATTGTCTCTTTCATTTGTGTCTCCAGGCCATCTACTTCTCATGGTTACTGGAGTGATCTTTGTATAATAAATTTGATTGTTGGTCCCTGCCTTGAAATCTCTTAATGGGTTCCCATAGTTATTAGGATAAAATTGCATATTCTGTAGTACAGAAAACAGATTGAGAACTAGCCTTTTACCAATATTCTACCCATTTTTTTTGTTCCAGTGCTGAGCACGGGAAACCATGGTCTTGCATATGCTAGGCAAGTGCGGCAAGTGCTTGACCACTGAGCTATATCTTCAGTCCCTACCTATCTGCCCCACCTCTCTTTTTTAATATGTATATTTTTCTATATTCCAGACAAATTAAACCACTTGTAGTTCACTGAGTTTTATATTTTTTTTTCATGAAGATATGCTGTTCTTGCAGGCATGTTCTTCTTGTCTTCTCAAGGTCATTAGCTACAGGTCATTTAAAAAATTTCTAAATTTATCTTCCAAAAACTTTTACTGACTTCTCTTTCCCATTCTGGATTAGGTAATTTTTCTTCATGTTCCCATAGCAGTCTGTTTCTTGACTGGATTCATGCTGTTGTAATAAAATGTCACAGACTGGGTAATTTTAAAGGATAGAAATTCTTTTCTCACAGGTCTGGAGGCTGGGAAGTCTATAATCAGGGAGCAGGCATCTGGGAGGACCTTCATACTGCATTATCCTATGGCAGAAGGGCAAACTGAAGGGAGAGACTAAAAGATCAAACTCATAACCACAAGCTCTTTTATAATCAGATTTAATCTATTCAAGAGGATGGATCCTTCATAACCTAAACAGCTCTTACCTCCCTGCAATGATGTATTTAGGGTTAAGTTTACAACACATGCTTTTTGAACAATACATTCACCTTAGCAACATGCAATAAGTGTTCTCAGGTGTATCTAACAATGTATCCTAGAAGTCTACATGTCTTTTCTTGCTAGACTGAAAGCTTTTCCACAGTGTGGGATATTTGATTATCTCTTTAATTCCTAATGCCTATCATTGTCTTATACAGTACAGAAGCTGGAAGTTTGTGATTGGGTTAATATATGAAGTAATAGAATTTATCAGAGATCTAAAATATGCCCAACCAACCCTGGGTTTCAAGAACATGTGAGAAATCGAAGAACGTGGTACCTGCCCTGTTCATAAGCTTAGTTATATGGACAAATGATGTGTAAAGCAATTAAAGATTAATAAATTATAGCATTAAGTGAGGGCTTAGGTAGAATGATTTGAAAATGAAGATAAAATAAAACAATTCAAATTTTTTGAGTATCTGTTTCCTACTTTGTTTTTCTCCTTTCTACCACTACTAACATCCTTATATCTTTTAATATTTATCTTGTTATGCCCATGTTCCTCAGTAGAATGTAAATTTTATGAGGATTTTGTCTTTTTTTTTTTTTCATTATGGTATTTTTGGTGTCTGGCACACGATAGCTGCTCAGTATAGCTGGGTGAATGGTTGGAATAGTTTGGAGAAGGAAGTGATCGGTAAGAGACAGTATTTATGAAACATTTTCTGGAGAAATTACATCATAAAGTCGGCCTTGGGAGTATTTTATTTAATGAGTTGATAAGTGTTTATGTAATATTTAAGTGAGTAATTACCAACTTTATTTTTATGTGAATTTTTTTAGGTTATATGTTGCTCTTAATTTTCTCTTAAAGCTTTCTAAAGGTTATACAGCCTCATTGTTGACTCAGAGTTTAACAACAAAACTTATTTGATCAGAGTGAGTGATGTTGGCCCTTTCCTTACAATCAGTAGCAATAAACATATTTACTTTATATGTTTATTAGAAAATAAGATACAATTGTAAATATGAGATATAATAGAGGCAATTATGTTTTATACAGATCTTTGCACTATTCTTGTAGTACTTGAGCGCTTATCTTTTACTTTCATCCATCAAAATGATAATGAATAGATATGAACTCATAGCCATATCAGATTTCTTCTGGTTGTTTTGCAAATTAGGAACCATAATTGACCATTCTTAGGTTTTATCAATTTCTTTTTTTTTAAATTTGGCACCAGGGATTGAACTCAGGGTCATTGAACTCAGCTCTTTTTTGTATTTTATTTAGAGTCAGGGTCTCACTGAGTTGCTTAGAGTCTCACTTTTGCTGAGGCTGGCATTGAACCCTGAATACTTCTGCCTCAGCCTCCCGATCCGCTGGGATTACAGGCACATATCACTGTACCTGACTGGTTTTATCAAATCTTAATCAGGTTTTAAATGTTTGTATGTGCATACATATGTGCTGCACATAATTTATAATTACATCATTTCCATATATATAATATATATGTGTGTGTGTGTGTGTATATATATATATATATATATATATTTTTTTTTTTTTTTTTTTTTTTTTTTTTTTGTGGTACTGGGGATCAAACCTAGAGCCCTGTGTGAGACAAGCACTCTACCACTGAATTATATCTCTAGCCCATTGTCTACTTTTATAAAATTTCCTTTTTGCTTCCATTTTCTTCCCCTTCATAACTGAAGAAACTAAAATCAGATTTTGAATTTAAACTATAAAAATGTTAAATTGCCAAAATGTTTTTTTCTGGACTATTACCTGGAACACATAGATACAATGGGTTTGAATAGTCTTTTAGATAATAAAATTTGTGTGTCTCAAGGGCTGGCCTCTCACCATTTTCTTCTTTTTCTAAATTTCAAATTAGATATTCTTAGGCTCTCATCACTGCAGTAGACTTTAATAGCATCTGATCTGCTTGCTTTATTTTAGAGATGAGGTAAGTAAGACCGAATGACAACTGATTTGGCCATTTAACTGGTGGCAATTCATAACAAGGACAGAATGATATAATAGGTTTTAAATTGTTGATGAGGAAATTAACCAGGCTGTGACAATCTTCTTTATGTTAACCACATTAAACTTTAAGCCCTGTACTGTTTCTAGAAATACGTATGGTTTTGATGACATTTTAAAATGATGTTATTTTAATGACATAATAGAATAGTAGCGGAAAGTTGCTAGAATTTGTCAGTCCATCAGTCTGCCATATAAGGTCTGAGTGAAGTTTGGCAATACTTGTTTTGGTATATTTATTACTATTGTATCAACAGAAGGACTTTTCATCACTCTGATTTTAAGCCTTTGAAAAACCTTATATGATCCCTAACTTGTTAGTTTTTGACAACTTGAATATGAGGATTCACACATATTTCATAGGAAGAGGTTTAACAAATAAATGCATATTAATGAAAACATGAGCACGATTTAAATAATTCAGTCATTTTCTTTCTTTTTTCTTATTTAACCTAAGAGGTTATATATATTTGTAGAAAGTCATTGGAGTATCTTAAATAGAAAAATGAAAAAAAGTCTTGTGAGTGTTCTACATTTCTTTTTTGTTTGTTTTGTAATCATTTCTTTCCTAGGACTTATATTTCAGTTAAACTGGTACACAAAAATAGCACCTTGTATTCTCTCTCTTTTTTTAAGTGTGAGGAGATCTGTGTTTTTTGTGTGTGTGTGTGTGTTGGCGGGGGATGAATAATTAGTGAATATAATGGATGAGAAGAGATAGTTATAGAAGACTTTAGACAATTTGAATTTTGTACTGGTATAATTTTTATTACACTGATATCTAATTTGAAGTTCAGAAAAAGAAGAAAATGGTGAGAGGCCAGCCTAATATTAGTTGCCTAATATTAATGCAATTGGATTGTTAAATTTTGGTGAGATATGTTCACATATTATATTTTTTTATGTGAAGAATACTGTGACATTTTTAAAGGTCCTTAGTCTGACTTCCTATGAAGTTTAAAAAAATTTTTCTTTTTTTCTAGAACTATAGCCTGTGTTTTGGTGTGGCAAGTTAGTAATTGTCCTTTGTTCTATTTCAGATCCCTGTATGTCACTGAGTCCACCATGCTTCACAGAAGAAGATAGATTTAGTCTGGAAGCTCTTCAAACAATACATAAACAAATGGATGATGACAAAGATGGTGGAATTGAAGTAGATGAAAGTGATGAAGTAGGTGGAAAGCTTTCTGCCGTACCCTTCTATGACAGAGTGACTGTGTTTCTAGTCTAAAAATTTCCTCTCATTTCTCATGTGACTCACTCCTTCATCTTTAACATTTTTAGCTTTTCTGTTTTCACATTGTAATTTTACTCTATAGATTTATGCAGTTTTTCTCTTTTTTTCCTGCCCACTTGTATACAAGTTTTCACAGTTTTAAAAATATTTGTCTTATATTCTTGGGTTTCTCAAACTTATATTCTGTTCTGACTGGATATTGCTGCTTTACAAACCACCTCAAAATATAGTGTCTTAAAATGATATTATTTTTCCCAGTTCTATGGGTTTACTGAGCTCAGCTGGGTAGCTTTTCTGTTCTCGTAATTCTAGACTGAGGTCCAATGGTAGTTGGCATTCATTTGAGAGCCCCTGGTGATGGAATATCTAAGATGCCTTCTTATCTGTTGTCATTAGTTTTAAGTATTACCATCTCGATCTTGACCTAGTTTCCCTCAGATTCTCCATAGAAGTTGTTTCTTTGACTGTGATCTCATTCTAACCAAATCCAATGTTTTCAGGCCTCTTCAGCCTCTGTGTTGTATTTTTCAGTGTTTTTAGTTTACATAATAGTAAATTACATTATTGCCTACCTTGCTGTCTCATGTTCCATAAATGTGATATCCTCTAATAATATTGTTATCTAGTAATTACATTCTCTAAAAATCAGTTGACTTGTTTGGCCTGCTGTTCAAAACATTTACTTTGAAAGGGGTCCTCTGTTTTCAGGTCATTTCTGATTCTTCCGTCTTTAAGTCAATCCATATTCCTGATCTTCCTGTATTGCTTTCTGCCAGACATTTTTACAGGTCTCTTACTTTTGCTTTACACTAAAGTAAGAGACCTCTAAAAAAAGTCTCTTACTTTTGCTTTATACAATTAGTATATTTAAAGCAAAATTCTGCTCTCCTATTTTGAATTTTTCACTCCTTAGTGGCGTTTCTGGACCTACCTCATCTCAATTTTTATTCTTCCAAATTAGAAGTTGGCAGATTTTTTCTTCCATAAAGGGCCAATTCACAGATTGTACTGTGTCCTCCAAATACATATGTTGAATACCTCAGAATGTGACCTTACTTAAAAATCATATGATTGAAGTAGTTAAGATGAGGACATAATGGAGTAGAGTAGCCCCTTAACTCAGTATGACTGGTGTCCTTGTAGGAGAGGAGAATACCTGTAGATACACACAGGAGAGAAGACAGCCAGGTGACAGTGGAGACAGAGATTGGAGTTATGCAGCTGTAAGTCAAGGAATGCCAAGGATTATTGGTAAGAAAGTAATCCAGCAGCTAAGAAAGATTCATGGAATAGAGTCTGCTATAGAGACTTGGAGTGAGCATGGCCCCAATGCTACTTTGATTTTTAGTCTCCAAATCTGTGAGAAAATGTATTTGTTATTTTTAAGCCATCTAGTAGTACTTTGTTATAGCAGTTCTAAGGAGACTAATAAAGGTAGTAAATATTTTATGTTTTGTGGGTCATATGGTCTCTAATGTAACTACTCAGTCTGCCACTGTATGGAAGCAGCCATAGATCATATAAGAACCCAATGGGCATGGGAGGGCATTCCAGTAGAATTTCATCTGCAAAAGCAGACAGCAGGTTAGATTTTGCTTGTATTCCAACCCCTGTTAGAAGATGTTATGTCCTTAAAGCTTATGGCTTTTTCTATTTTTGCTACTAACTCTTATCTGCTTTAGTTATTTGCTTGTTCTGCTTTTTAAAAAATGTCTTTAATTGTTGATGGACCTTTATTTTATTCATTTGTTTATGTGTTGTGCTGAGAATTGAACCCAGTGTCTCACACATGGTAGGCAAGTGCTCTACCACTGAGCCACAACCCCAGCCCTGCTTGTTCTGTTTTAATCTAGGTATTTATTATCTTGTGCCTAGATTACTGTCTCCAAATTATTCCTCTTTGATCCATCATGATTATCACTTTTAGAGTGTTTTCTCAGTTAACAAATTTACAGCAATTTTTAAATAGTCTATTAGATCAGATTTTAGCTCTTCAGTCTTACATTTAATGCCTCTGCACTAGTCAATTCCTGCTTCCTGAGATACTCCTTTCTTATTGTGGTTAAGTCATTTTGGTTAGAGCTCAGTTCCATTGATGCCAAAATCATGGCTTTCACTTTTATTTTTATTTTTTTTGATGGGTTTCACATGTGTTAACTCATTTACTCCTCAGAAAACCCCCAAAACCCTCTTTGAAGCAAATACCATTATTGCCTTTATTTTCGAGGTGAGGAAACTGAGACACAGAGAAGATAAGTAACTTGTTCGAAGTCACAAAGATACCAAGAAGTAAAGCTAGAATCTGAATCCAGGAATTGAAGCCACTGAGGCCATGAGCTTATTAATCTTTGGCTGTCACTTTTAAATAGACCAATTCAGTTAATTTGTTTCTAGAACTATAGACTGTATGTAATCCTATCTTGCAAAGCTTTCACTTTTGGAAGTATATGAAACATATAAATATGTTTTGTTGTCGATGGATTATCGAAAGTTTTACTCTTACTACCATTTTATCATATTGAGTTGATAATTCTTCATGTTAACATTATTATCGTTTTCCTTTCTCTCTCCCTTCTCCTCACAGAATAAAATTACGACTTTTTGGTAATGATAATTGAATTATTATCATTTATTCTTCATAATATTTCCAAGATTGTCTAAGTTGTTTACTTAGTTAAAGGTAATTTAGATGCTTAATAATTTGAGCATTAAATATGTTAGATTTTTATAGGGCTAAATTATTTTCTGAGCTAAGTAGATTTTGTGAAATTATTGTATATTTTCTTAGTCATTTCCAGTATGAAGGGATTAGCTTTGTTAAACAAATTCACTGTCACTTCTTTGTCTTTGTATGGTAGAAAGAGGAAGGGCTATTGGTGGGAGGCATCAGTTTACTACCCTGTGGGTCTTTTCATAGGGTATCTCATAAAATGGCAATGGACTTGCCTTGGAGCTAATGATAGTACTGAGAGAAAGAGTAGGGAACAGGAAAAGGACTAGCAATGTGGAAGTTACTTTGTTTGAAAGTAATCCTGAAGTGGTGTCCCATCACTTTTGTGGTATCCTGCTTATAAGTTTTGAAACAAAGCTTACTTCACCAGTCTTTTACTGAGCACCTATTGGTTGCTAGAGAGTGTGTGAGGTAATGGCTTTGTAAAGATGAACAAAGGCAAGTGGTGTGCCTTTACCAGTCATTTTATGGAAAAAACACATTGATTTGTCCTGGAAGAACTGAAGCATGGTTAAGATCAGTAGTGCTAAGAGATAAGACCTGAGAAAAGGCATGAGAAAGCAGCAAATTAAGACTGGGGTGATTCATGAATATCAAGTAAGTAAGGCACCAGGGGAGACCACAGAAGAGCTGGTGAGACAGTGAATCAGCGGTGGTAGAGTTCCGAACCCCAGGTGTATCAGTACATGGTGCAAAGGGCAGGTGAATCACAGGGTAGCTCCCCTGGTTTTCAGAGTTCCTTGAAAGCTAAAAAACAGTCTCTGGAGTTCTTCATTTTTTAAAATATCTTCTCTTATAAAGTCATTTTGTCTTTGCTAAATGTATATATTAAGGGGCACTTAGACACTTATCAGAAATGTTATTCCATCCTGATGAAATTTATGGATTCTTAGGTAATTATTTTAGTCAGCTTTTTTTGCTGCTGTTACCACAAGACCTGACAAGAACACTTTTTTTTAAAGAATTTTTTTTAAAATATTTATTCTTTAGTTTTCGGCGGACACAACATCTTTGTTTGTATGTGGTGCTGAGGATCGAACCCGGGCCGCACGCATGCCAGGCGAGCGTGCTACCGCTTGAGCCTCATCCCTAGCTCAAGACCTGACAAGGACAATTTTAAGGAGGAAAAGTTTATTTGGGGTGGTCATAGTTTCAGAGGGCTCAGTCCATAGATGACTGATGCCATTACTCAGGATCTGAGGCAAAGGCAGAAAGAACTTCCTGGCTGACCATGTGGTGAAGGAAAGTGACTGGGAACTTGGCATCGGGAAGTGGAGAGAACTCTATTCAGTAAGGACAAAATATATACCTTAAAGGTACTCCCAGGGACTCACCTCCTCCAGCCACACCTAGCCTGCCTTCAGTTACCACCCAATTAATCCCCACCCAGGGGATTAATGCACCTATTAGGTTAATGTTCTCTTAACCCAATCCTTTCAGCTCTAAACTTTCTTGCATTGTCTCACACATGGGCTTTTCCTGGAAACCTCACATCTAAACCATAACAGTAATGAGGTAAGTCTTCAATCAAACAGATTAATATAAGTTGAGGGGAAAAATGAAATACAAGTAGATTTGATGCAAATGTAGAAATGTATATGGTTCAAATACAGTCCTTCAAATAGTATTGTTAAATCACTTGACATTTCTTTTTTCTTTTCTTTTTTTTTAGCACTTCAGATTGAACCAGTGAGCCACATCCCCAGTCTTTTAGTTTTTTTGAGTCAAGGTTTCATAGAGTTGCTTAGGGCCTTGCTAAAGTTGCTGAGGCTTGCCTCTGAACTTGTGATTCTCCTACCTTAGTCTCTTGAGCTTGCTGTGATTACAGGTGTGTGCCATTGTGCCCAGTTATACTTTTTAAAATGAAAAAATCAAAGGCCTTTTTAGAAGCCTGAAGTAGCTCTCATATACAGTATTTCTCCAAACTATTTTTTTTAAATTTATTAGTTGTGGATGGACAATACCTTTATTTATTTATCTTTATGTGGTACTGAGGCTCGAACCCAGTGCCTCACATATGCTAGGTGAGCACTCTACCACTGAGCCATAACCCCAGCCCCCTATTTTTTTTTTAATCATGCTATCAAGCTATTAGGGAAAAGGTTTTGTGTAGGCTCTCTCTGATCAAAATTTTAAATAAATACTTGTATTTAATTGTATAGATATGTATTATATATATACACATACAATCTCTTATACCAGT